TATGGTTCTTCTTTCAAACAGTCCTGCACCACACAACCTGAATACAAACACACAAACTCCTTTTAAATTGATTTAAACTCAACCCTTTTTTCTATTAAAAAGTTCAAAAATGCATTTTAAAGTGGCTCCATTAATCTCTGTGTAAGCGTGCCCTGTCTTTGGGATAAATGATATCTAAAGTATTTCATAGAGCAACAAATAGGGACATATTTTGTTGCCAGACATCATTAACTGGCGTTTTAATGATCATTATTGCACGGCTTAGTTGAATAATGGATTCTGATTGGTCAATTTGGACATTCCAAAGGTTGTTCGTTCTCACTAACATACCGTTGCTAAGGAGAACTGACCGTTGCTAAGGAGGATCAAGGGACTGTGTGAAGCCGTATCAATCCGCAGAAAGAAGTCCGGTGAATTATGTGAGATGCAGACTTGCGATGTGAATTTGTTGGCACTCAGAGAAAGGCTTTTAGAGAATTAGGAGCTGATTAAAATGCTGCTCAACACCTTGGAAAGCTCATTGTCATTCATAGATCAACCTCCCATTCCCGTTCTCTGAACAAAGCTTTAAATATCACACTGTCGCTCTCAGGCGGCTGATTTATTCCACAGACTGATGACATTTATTTAAGATATTGATAGAGAATCACCCAGAAACTTCTTCACCAGTCCTTCTGTTCTACTTCTATATTAGAGCAGAGGTGGAAGAAGTGTTATGATCCTTCACTTAAAGGGGACCTATCATGCAAAATGCACTTTCTGATGTCTTCTCTACATCAACATGTGTCCCCGGTGTGTCAGGGGAACTCACGCAGCGTCAGAAAATAAAACCCTCTCTCTTTTCCTCCGTACCCAAATCTCTAAAAACGGGGAACAACGGAGCTGATCCAGATTTGAGTCCGATATGACGTAATATCTGAAATGTGGACCCACGGCCCAATCAGAAACGTTGCTATCAGAAACAATGCCCGACTGTTTTGGACGTAATATGGTCGGTGTTTACATTAGCATCGCTAACACTCAGAGCTAACCTGTACTGGAGAGCATGTGTGTGAAGAAGCAGGAAGTAAAAAGGAACTCACCTTGTGGTATAACCGGCAAGAGAGAAAGCCTTTGAGCTCCAGACTGTTTCAGAAAGAATCCTTGATAATCCATGATATGGCGTTTCATCACGGCAGCATTTAGTTTAGACGGTAGCTGCCGGGTCCCGCATGAGCTCAGACCCCTCCTTTTTAAAGCTTTATACCCAAATCAGCACTTTTGAAACAGGAAGTGAAATAGAGGGATATGAGGCATGGCTAGAATGATCTGATTGGTATTTTGAGCAAAACACTTCATAGACATGTTTTTTATATATTTGTATATATCTGAGACCTGTGCTATTGGCTAGAAATAGCATGATAGGTGACCTTTAAGTAGAATAACTAATACTGCACTGTAAAAGTACTCCATTACAAGTAAAAGTACTGCGTGTGGAATGGTACTTAAGTGGAAAATGTACTTTAAATATTAGGAGAAGAAGTGCTTGCTGTATTAAATAAAAATAAATAAATATTTAAGATGAAAAGCAGGAAATCTTCACATTTGAAAAGCTGGAACTGTTGTGTGTTTTTACACAAAAGAAAATGTAAATTTTTTTTTAAATTGCTCCCAATTCAATTTCTATGAACTCACTCATTGTTTGTGTTGTTCTTAAATAGACCAGTAAAAAAAAGTCCAAATGATAAGCGCTAAATGAAATAGATGGACACCTGATTGAGTAAAGAAAACATCCTTTTGTTGACACATTTAGTTTCTTCTTTACACAATAATGAATATATAAAATGATGTGTTTCAGCCAAAACCTTCAGACACATGTTTTGTATCTGAGACCTGTGATATAAGCAGTGTTGTGCTAGTTACTGAAAACCAGTAACTAGTTACCATTACTAGTTACTTCATTTCAAAAGTAACTCAGTTACTTTACTAGTTACTTACACCAAAAAGTAATGCGTTACTGTGAAAAGTAACGTTGTAGTTACTTACAAAAAGGGCTCCCATTAATGCCCTTATAGCCTTCATTTCAGTACTGTTATTGAATTGGAGAATAATACAATCTGTTGATCAACTTGACATGCATTATATGCAATCTGGATTGCATCGATATTAGCTGGCTTTCCATTTCTGTATATTCTTTCTCCAGGTAGTTGGAAAAAGTTTTCCGTCCCATATGCCGTGTGCCGCCCGGACATGCTATCATGCTAACTAGCTCCCTGAAAGCGGGTGACTCCACTGTAGCAATAGCCTGCATGTGTTCTACAACATACCGTGCAATGGCTTTATCGACTTTTCCCTGGCCAGCAGTCCCTTGGTTAAAATCCAGCCGCTGTTGCTTAGGTGGAGGTGGAGTGGCGTCGGCTGAGTCTCTGTGGTCTTAGCTCCTAGCTTCGTCCCAGCATGTTGTTTTTGCAGATGTTTTAAGAGATTTGAATGACTGGTTTGGGCAGTAGATAGGATATTTGACCCGCCAAGACACAACTTACATTTAACTAAAACGTTCTTTTCTTTGTGCTCGACAAAAGTGAAATAGTGAGAATATCTCCAGGTGGAGAAACTAGACTTGAGCTCCGCCGCCGCCATGATAGTCTTGTTAGTAAACAACACAAACACGCCCACAGCCCGTCTCCGCATGTGACACAGGAAGTATCTAAGTACATTTACTCAAGTACTGTACTTAAGTACAGTTCTCATCTCTGTTCGCCTGGCTGTTGACTATATAAAAAAAACTAACGGAGTAACGCACCATGTAGTAACGCTAACCACGTTAGCGAATTAAAAAAGTAACGCGTTAGAGTGGTAGTTACTGCTAACATTTACAGTGTTACAGTAACGCGTTACTTTGTAACGTGTTAGTCCCAACACTGGATATAAGATACGATAAGAAGTACTTTATTGATCCCAATGTGGCAATAGTTTGCGTTGCAGCAGCATAAAAAGACATCGCATTGTACACTAGAGAAATGAAAAGACTAGAAATAAACAATCCAAAATGTAAAACATCTCAAATAGCGTTAAAAAAGTAGAAAATATGCATATTTAAAGTAACAAAATATAAAGCAGGATATTATATATATACAAGTGTGTAAGGAAAGGAATATTACAGATTAAATTGAACATAAAGGTAAAATGTACAGTGTGAGTTTAAGTCCAGTTATCCAAGAGAAGCTATATTGTTGAAAAGAGTCAAATAGGAGACCTTTAAAACCCTCCTGTTGTCTTCGGGTCAAATCTGACCGATTCACTACTTTCATCGATCATAACTTTTTTGTTTTACATTCGATTGCATCAATGCTTCATGATATCCTTCACAGTAGACATTTGAACATATACAATGGCTGATCACCACGTTCATTGAATTTTGGATGATTTAGTGAACTTTGTAACAACCATGGTGTTCCTGGTCAAACATGACCGCCATACAGAAAAGGAATTAGTAACCATCGGGATCACACACACACACACACACACACACACACACACACACACACACACACACACACACACCACACACACACACACACACACACACACACACACACACACACACACACACACACACACACACACACACACACCACACACACACACACACACACATACACACACACACACACACTAGATGTGTTCTCCCCCCTTATGTGCCCCTCCCCCCACATGGATCACACGCAATACATGTTCAGTGTCTGTTCTTTGTATATGTACTGCAGTTCTTCATGTACACCAGTAGTCTGATACAATATGTACAGTTTGAGAGGGTGTTAAATGAAATGTGGTGATGATTAATGGTTTTTGTGTTAATGTAATAGCAGTTAAAACAGGACTGGTCACATTTGACCGGGAACACCAAAGTAAGGGGGGGAACGAAGACAATAGGAGGGTTAAAACAATTCAAAATACTTAAATCTCGTGGTAATGAAAACCTCAGAGGGCGAAGAAACACCCACTCACTGTTAGTCATCCAAAGAGACGGGAATCAGCCGCTACATTCATGCTCGACAGGAAGTAGTTAAGCTCCTTCATAAAAAGAGATGCCTTTAATCATCATGCCTGTAAACAATGGAGAGTAAAGCGTCCAGGTGGCAGAGCTGCTGGGTGTAAGTGTTCAGAGCGGACTGAACGACTCCGGACATGTGAGGGAGGCTCACTTGTTGTCGTGAACTGAGTGAACAGATCATGTAGTCATTCCTTCTTTTTTAAAATAGGAAAACATTGTGTTTGTCAAACAAGCCGAAACCCACCGGGTGAACAGCAGGATATCATTTAACTTACAAAAAATCTGGTTTGATTTTACGTAACGTCTTCATGCATGATTTTCTCTTTTTTACTCACATTTACTAAGTACTGTATACTAAAGTACACATTTGAGGTACTTCAGTTGAGTATTTTCTATAAGTGCCACATTGTACTTCTACTCCACTTAATTTCTATATATTTTTTACAGCTTACTTTATAAATTAAGATTCTCACACAAAACGTATACAAAACTTTAAACCACGATGTTTTGATGAAGATTCAACTAAACGAAAAAATTAAGAAGAACAAAATGAAACTAAAAGGAAAGTTTGTCAACATTTAATGTATTTTAAAATGCATTAAAACATCGCAATCCTGCTAGAAATCCCCCTTTTTGTTTTGTATACCTTATAGCGTCTTTTTACGTCACTGTAAGAGAATACAGTTCCTATTTTGTGTATCATGATCATGTAATCCATTACTCCTTTCAGCTGGTCATAAATAAGCATGTGGTAATCAACATGTGAGCCGTCATGTGATACAAATAAACACGCAGAGTACAGTACAGCATGTGTGTCCCTCTCTCTATCTATCCCCTCTCTGTGTCTGAATGCCTCTTTTCATCGCTGGTTATTATATTAAAGCATGAATTAAAGAAGGTCTCAGTCCTTCTCTAACTGTCCGTCTCTCTTCTTCTTCTTCTTCTTCTTCTTCCTCTTCTTCTTCAGTCTCACAGCGCGGTATGCAAGTCCTCCGGGCCACAGTGGGTTAGGGTCACCACAGAAGAAAAATACGAGGTAAATATCACAAATGAACCCCTCATATACCTCCTTTATTTGGTGTCTGATTCTAAAACGTTCTTTGTGCTCGGTTTTTTCATTGCTTTGTGCATGAACCTTATCCTTCATGTAACTGTCCTTAATGTGATTTTGAGTAATGTTATCATGTTTTTGTTAAAAGGGCTTTCTGTAGAGTCAACTAGTTTGTTTTGACCATTACATGTGTTATGGCTCAAGAGGCCACAACAAAGAGGAGACACACCATATCAACGGTTCATAAAATATGTTTATTAAAGCAAGTAATTCAAATTAACCAAATTAATTAAAGGTGGGGTAGGTAAGTTTGAGAAACCGGCTCGAGATACACTTTTTGTTATATTCCATGGAATGCTCTTAACATCCCGATAGCAATGAATATCTGAAGTGCTTTGACAACAAATCCATTAAAAAAATATCATCAGTGGAAGCCGTGGCGCTGTAAAAAGCACGACCAATCATCTGAGCCGGCTAAAGTAACTGGACGGCCTACCTGCCTGTCAGCCTTCCATCGGGGCACAAACTTAACTCGTGCCCTCATTGGTCATGTGCGCGTTCCTGTGTGTTGGAGGAGGGGCTCGGTAAGGAAGTAGCAGATTTCTTCGGGCTGTGTATTTTCAAATTCTAGCGCACTCGAGCTGGTTTCTCCAAAATGACCTACCCCACCTTTAAGAGCAAAGTGAGTAAAGCATGAGGGGTGGACGGCAGTGGTGTCAGTAGTGTAAATGCAGGGTGAGGGTTGCATGGACGTGTATGTGTGAGGTGCACAAAGTAAAGCAACTGAAGTAACAAATAGCATACTCAACAGAAGAGTAGAGGGGAGACCGGGGGTGCGTCTCTTCGGTTATTTCTCATTTCCTCGCTCCTCGGGCTCGGTATCACCGGAAGTTGATTTGTCTGCGCCATCTTGAGTGGCGTCCCAGTGGCCTTATTTGTGCCGGAGGATCGAGGAGCGATAACGGAGGAGCGATAATCGAGGAACTACCAGACCATCCTCCGGTGAAATCCTCAGACACTCGCCCCGCCCCCTTACTGTGTATCGCTCACTGATTGGACGATGCAGCGCATGTACTGATCTGGCTACTGTCAGACGATCAGCTGTGCGGCGTCATCACAAACGGACGTCGCTTCACGTGACGCTCCGGAGGAAACGACGTCCCATTGCTCTTAAAACTAATTTCCCTGCTTCTCGTGGTTTCCTTGCGTCTCTCCATGCTTCCCTGGTGGGAGGGACTAGTCGCAGGGAAACGACGCAAGTGAAGGACGCAAGGAATCCATTTAACCGAAGTGAGATGCAGCTAGGACACAGCACAGCCACACCCTCTCCAGATGAACCCACAGCATCACAAATGCCAAAAAGAAAAGTTAAACAGTTGAAAACACAAAGGTTAAGTTAATTACAGTTTGACGGTCACCTCCTAGTCTGTGGTATCTTTTAAATAAGGTGGATTTGAGGGGAATTTGCCTTTTAATGTTGTTTATATCCCCACAACCTGCAAACTGAAGACCTTGGTGGCAAAACATTTGGCAGAAGAAATAATGAGTTTGTCCTCTTCCTCTCCTCTTCATCCTCACTGTGTCTGATACTCTTCCTCTGTCTTAAAACCCACAGCAGAACTTACATCACATTTCCCTTTCAAGCTCCGTTTTGCTGATGCATTATCAAACATGTATTTTGGAAGATGAAAGAATTGTATGATAAAAGGATCTCCCTTTGATTTCCATTTGAATTGCCTCAATCTCAGCCTCATTGCTCCTCACGGGTTACCTCTCATTTTCTCTCGTCTGGCTGCAGTCGCTCCCTTTCTGCATCCATTAGCTTCTCTGTCAACTCTCTCTTTCTTGTTGTCTTCGTTTGTTATCATTTATTGTTCTGTCGCTCACACTTCCCCTTGATTGTATCTCTACTTACATATTTCCATTGTATGCTACAATTGGACCTTTGTTTCCTTCCATCACTATATAACACTCAAGCTCCTATTGGCTAGCGCTCCAACACATTGTACGTGATAGGCTAAGGGGCAGGACATCTCTAAGCTGGTTGATCAATGACAACACAACCGGCCAGCTAACCAATCAGAGCAGACTGGGCTCTGGTTTCAGACGGAGGGTGAAAAGAGGTGCTGCAGCACAGACAGTGTGAGACAAATAAAGAGCTTTTTGAACATTAAATCATGGAGACATGTAGAGACACTACATACTGATATACACCTGAACATCAGCATGAGAGGACTCTTTAAAGTAGAGACACTACATACTGATATACACCTGAACATCAGCAGGAGAGGACTCTTTAAAGTAGAGACACTACATACTGATATACACCTGAACATCAGCAGGAGAGGACTCTTTAAAGTAGAGACACTACATACTGATATACACCTGAACATCAGCAGGAGAGGACTCTTTAAAGTAGAGACACTACATACTGATATACACCTGAACATCAGCAGGAGAGGACTCTTTAAAGTAGAGACACTACATACTGATATACACCTGGACATCAGCAGGAGAGGACTCTTTAAAGTAGAGACACTACATACTGATATACACCTGAACATCAGCAGGAGAGGACTCTTTAAAGTAGAGACACTACATACTGATATACACCTGAACATCAGCAGGAGAGGACTCTTTAAAGTAGAGACACTACATACTGATATACACCTGAATATCAGCAGGAGAGGACTCTTTAAAGTAGAGACACTACATACTGATATACACCTGAACATCAGCAGGAGAGGACTGTTTAAAGTAGAGACACTACATACTGATATACACCTGAACATCAGCAGGAGAAGACTCTTTAAAGTAGAGACACTACATACTGATATACACCTGAACATCAGCAGGAGAGAACTCTTTAAAGTAGAGACACTACATACTGATATACACCTGCACATCAGCAGGAGAAGACTCTTTAAAGTAGAGACACTACATACTGATATCCACCTGAACATCAGCAGGAGAGGACTCTTTAAAGTAGAGACACTACATACTGATATACACCTGAACATCAGCAGGAGAGGACTCTTTAAAGTAGAGACACTACATACTGATATACACCTGAACATCAGCAGGAGAAGACTCTTTAAAGTAGAGACACTACATACTGATATACACCTGAACATCAGCAGGAGAGAACTCTTTAAAGTAGAGACACTACATACTGATATACACCTGCACATCAGCAGGAGAAGACTCTTTAAAGTAGAGACACTACATACTGATATCCACCTGAACATCAGCAGGTGAGGACTCTTTAAAGTAGAGACACTACATACTGATATACACCTGAACATCAGCAGGAGAGGACTCTTTAAAGTAGAGACACTACATACTGATATACACCTGAACATCAGAAGGAGAGAACTCTTTAAAGTAGAGACACTACATACTGATATACACCTGAACATCAGCAGGAGAGGACTCTTTAAAGTAGAGACACTACATACTGATATACACCTGAACATCAGCAGGAGAGGACTCTTTAAAGTAGAGACACTACATACTGATATACACCTGAACATCAGCAGGAGAGAACTCTTTAAAGTAGAGACACTACATACTGATATACACCTGAACATCAGCAGGAGAGGACTCTTTAAAGTACAGACACTACATACTGATATACACCTGAACATCAGCAGGAGAGGACTCTTTAAAGTAGAGACACTACATACTGATATACACCTGAACATCAGCAGGAGAGGACTCTTTAAAGTAGAGACACTACATACTAGGGCTCTGCGATTATGGCAAAAATCATAATCACGATTATTTGGTCAATAATTGATATCACGATTATTTTGACGATTATTCATTGACCATTTATTGAACTTTAAAACAAATAATATTTTACCAATAAACAAGATCAACAAATATGTTGGAGCGCACTTCCAAAACAATACTAAACATATATTATTAATATGATAAATAAAAATGAATTAGACCAAAATAAATGAAATCAAACATGTTGCAGTGCAATGTCACAACCTACTGAAAACTCCTTAACATATAGCCAACATGTTGGTAAAACATATTCAACATATTCCACTCAGTTAAACGTTGAAGGCTGGCCAACCGTCATGGTCCAGAAGTAACAGGAAATAAATGTTGAACTACAATTTAAGACCAAATAAAAATGTTTAGGCCACCATGGCAAATGCTGGTAGGGCTGCTCATGTCATCTCTTAAAGATTGTTTGCAAGAAACACCAGCCTGTTTACATGGTCTGGTTTCAGAGATGAGCGCAGGCAGGTGACAATATTGCCACCTGTACTGAAGACCCTCAGCCACGCCCCGACACATGGGTGACGCCGGCCAATCACAAAGCTTTGATGCGTTCAAGTGCATTATTCTGACACAGGAAGATTATGTTACAGGACATTAACGATAACACAGAATATTGTTGTTCTATTTTTAGACACATCTCGCGATCGACTGGTTGGGCACCCCTGGGCTAGACCATAGGTCCGTTGTGGTAGCAAAGTAGTCAGCTGAAGCCACATCTCTCTCAACTTCCCCACGGCATTTGTCACATAGTGCAGGCAGCGCAGACCTGCTGAAATAATACCGAGACGGCATCGCGTAACGCTTGTCCAACGTGTTGACAAGTTGCTTAAAGCCCTGGTTGCTAACAGTGCTAACTGGGCACATATCTTTAGCCATGTGAAATGTAATGGCAAAGTACTTGCAAATAGTGGAAATAGTTTTACCCTTCTTTTTAACGAGTTGCTGCTCTTGTTCTGACATCTTCGCTCGCGCTGAACACTCACAACACCTGTCACTCCCACGTGGCCGAGTGGGCTTTTAGGGAGGGGCGAAAGCGCACCCAGCAAAAATAATCGTATTTTGTCAATTATGCTGTTTTCATAATCGTCGCAAGCCATAATCGTAATCGCGATTAAAATACGATTAATTGCACAGCCCTACTACATACTGATATCCACCTGAACATCAGCAGGAGAGGACTCTTTAAA